CCTCTTAGTTCTTTTCCCAGTTGTGTCCCAATCATATCCCGTAAAAATTTTTTGAAAGTTTTGGATTCCACCCTTTCCTAGTTTCCAATCTGGTACAATTTCAGCCACTGTTTCTCTCTTCCTTCCCTCCCTCCCTCCCTCCCGACCTTTATGAATGCGATTGAAACTTTGTGGCCCATGCGCAGAAGTCGGTTTTCAGCCTGGGCGAGTCTATTTTGAAGAAGTACTGTTGATATTTGGCTCTATTGACTAATGAGTTTGCAGACCACTGCTCTAGGCTGTTAGGTTAGGACCCGGAGGGTGAAAAGAAGAAGAAAGCAAAAATTCACTGAGTTTATCTGGACAAGAGTCTAAATTTGTGATTTTGAGTGTGTAACATTCTGATTGGTAAACACAATTGTTTCCTGGTCATTGTGCCATTGGGGTTTTTCCAGAGTTCACTCTGTGTTCTTTGCTGTTAGGAACATCTTTGAACAAAACATTTTTGGGATTTTTCCTTTGAATTTATTCTCCAAAGTGGGCCTAACTATAAAACTTTATGACGAAGTCAGTAATCAAGAATGTTCTGTTCAGCTCAGCCAGTGGTGCTCAGTGGTTGAGCGTTGACCTATGAACCAGGAGGTCATGGTTCAATTCCCGGGTTGCAGGCTTGATCCCCAGTGGAGGGCATGCAGGAGGCAGCGGATCAGTGATTCTCTGTCATCATTGATGTTTCTATCTCTCTCCCTTCCTCTCTGGAATCAATAAAAGTATACTTTTAAAAAATAAAGAAGAATGTTCCGTTGAGTTTGTGTAGGGTATATTCATTCTTCAAGCATCTCTGTGTGCTGGCAGGAGCCGGGGTGGGCTGGGAGGGGTGGGGAAGATGGGGCAAGTCAGGGACAGTCTGCACATTCAGAGACCTCTCCTCCTCCCCTGAGCCGTAGGGAGGCCTTCAGAGGCTTTCCAAGCTCTTCTGAAGTTTTTTCCTTGTGATGAGAACTTGTAAGATCTACTCTCTTAACAGATTTCGAATATGCAATACAGTGTAATTAACTATATTTAACAATGATTAACCTTTTTCAAAGAGCACTCTGGCTGCGGTTGGAGGACTGACTGTGGGAGAGCAAAAATAAAACAGGAGGCTTTTGTGCTGAGCCAAGAGGATCTTTCACTTCTCAAATTCTGTAGGTCACAGTGGTCGTAAAGGTGCGGCTCCCCCACAACACCTGCTCTCGCCTCTGTCTCTCAGCGCAGCAGGCCCATTGCCGGGCGACTCTGAGGGCAGGGGGACCTGGGCCCTTCCGTCCACCTCACCCTCTGCCCTTTCCTCCCAAGGTTTTCATATTTTCTCTCCACACGAGGACCATATTTTGAGGGGAATCCTTTGGGGAACACCTTGTATTAAGACCCCAAGGAAAATGTTAGCTTTACTTGACTGGCTTCAGAAACAGAAGCCTCATGTTTCCCAAATGGATTTATGGCCAGAGAGTAGAGATGCGGGGCCACGTTGGGTTGGGAAAAGCCACCTTAAGGGGATTCAGTTTGATAAGAACCTTGAACTAGGAACCAGAAACCTGGCTCCACTCTTAGCATAGCAATGACTAGTGTCGATACATTTGAACACGTTACTTAAGCTTTTTGGATCTACTTCCTCATCAGCAGAGACCATGCCTGTCCTGCTAACCTCACGAGGCCCATGTGGGGTGCAATAAAATAAGAATGTGGAAGCACTGTGTCCAGAGGTGCCATGGAAACCTGCGCTGGTAGCACCCCTTTTTAGGAAGCTACAGATACTGGTAGCTTGCTGCTGTTTGTGTGAGCTCAAATAATTGTCTGTGTAACACCCGCAGCAGGAGTGCGAGTGTTTTCCTTGGTCACACAGCCCTACGAGGAAAGAACGTGCAGTGTGCCACGGATCTGGAGGACTGGCTCTCCCCTCCCTCCCCCACCAACTGATTTGAGACATAGTTCACGTCCCACTGTCTGGCCAAAACATTTCAGACTCTGTGTGGGCTGTTCCTGGAAGGTTATTGGCTGAAGTCCCCATAGCAAAGGTTAGAGAGGTTGGCTGGGAGTCACCGGGAGACCTGCAAACCATCTCTCTCTCTCTCTCTCTCTCTCTCTCTCTCTCTCACACACACACACACACACACACACACACACACACACGGCACAATTACAGTCGTTGGGGACTCACAGTGTCTGTGGATGTTACACATGTAAATTATTAAAACTGTGACAATTGCTTCAAAGTTTTGAGAAGCGAGTGACTCATTCTGCCAAGGAGTGGGCCAAGAAAGGTTCCCAGGGGAAGGGGAATTTGAGCAGATGCCGGTGTGATACCTGGAGACCTGTACATAAAAGAGAGGAGGGGGCTTTGCAGCAAAGACCAGGAGTGCGAGTCGGCCCGGTGGGTCCCGGGAGCTGGTGTGGTGAGAAATGAGGCTGCTAAGATCGGTCTAGGCCAGACGTGTGGAAAACTGCTGTGTGAGCTGCTTGGTTTATCTGAGTAAAGATGTTGAATTCTTCTTCTTGTGCAATATTTTGCCACCGATAGAGTCATTCCGGGGCCCGGGGCCCGAGTGTTGATGAAATGTTAGGGTGGGTCCCTGCAATGCCAAGCACAGTGCCTGTTTAAATATTTATTGAAATGATGAGAACATGACAGTTGTCTCAGAGCTTCAGAGAAGGTGTCTCTCTGAGATCCCCAGATACCCGTGCTCTGTGGTGTCAGCATGCTGAGCAAGCAGGCAGAACCAGCTGGCGGCTGCTGCAGCCGGGCTCGCAGTCACGCCCACAACCAGAGCAGCTGCTGAGGGCTTTGCCTTCCGTGCCGAGGTGAAGTGGAGGTGGGGTCCATTCTCAGGAGCACCTTCTGTGAAAATGGTACCTTTCAGTAGCCACAAACATATTTTTGATGTCGCGTCATCGAGTGTGTGGTTAAATTATTGGAGTTGGTGACATCGCCCTTGACCCCAGGCCTTGCTTCCCTCTGTCTTGTCCAAGCCCTCTTCCCAGATGTCCCAGGATTAGCTGGAGCTCATGAATATGATCACTAGGTTGACCTCTAATTTCCTGTGTTTTCTCTAATCTGGGGGCTCATATCCAGCCTGCATACAAGAACAGGGGCGTCTATAAAAAAAGAAGGAACTTTTACCATTTGCAACAGCATGGATGGAACTGGAGAGTTTGATGCTAAGTGAAATAAGCCAGTCGGAGAAAGTAGGAATGGCTGGGGATGGAGAAGGGAGGGGGGTGGCTGTTAAGTGGGGGCTTGAGGGGAAGGAGACAGACATATGTAAAACTTTAGACAAAAAAAAAAAAAAAGAAAGAGATGTCAGGAGAAGGCATCTTCCACCCCATCCTGGGCTCTCAGACCCATGGGTCAGGAATTTTCTGCATTCTTGATCAAGGCACTTTCCATGGTGCCACCTCACTTTCTTGCCATATTCCTCCTGGTGTTTGTCTCCTGGTGATAGCAAAGTGACATTCAGAGGTTTTTACATCTAGGCAAGGCTTTGTTCTGTTGTCAAATCTTAAAACTAAAGAAAACTGTTAAGATTGCACCTTTTTGGATATTAGGGACATAATTTATTCAAATGGTTTCCTACTAAGGCCTATAGAAAAAGAAGTCCATAATTTAAAAAAATCTTTCCTTCTCTTTTTTTCCTGGCATTTTCCCACAGCCCCCATTCCACCCCTCCCAATTTTTTTTGATTGTGAAAAATTTTAAACATTTACAGAAAAGGAGAGAATTGTATAATGGACCTGCAGTTACCAGCTTCAACAATTATCAACGATGAGGCATTTTATAGTATCTATATCCCCACCTACCCATCCTTAATTATTTTGAAGCAAATCTCAGACATTTTATCATTTCATCCATGAATATTTCCGTATATAGTCCTAAAAGATGAAGACTTTGTAAAATCCTAATACTTCTGTTTTCACACCTAATAATTTCTTTTCTTTCTTTTTGATAAAAATTGATTTCAGAGAGAGAGAGAGAGAGAGAGAGAGAGAGAGAGAGAGAGAGAGAGAGAGATTCGCCATTCTTCTTATTCATGCATTCATTGGTTGCTTCTTGTATGTGCCCTGATTGGGGATCAAACCTGCATCCTTGACATATCAGGATGATGCTCTAATCAACTGAGTTTCCCAGCCAGAGCCCCTAAAAATTTTTTAATATCCTCAAATAACTGACCACTATTCCTGAGTGTCTCAAAATCTTTTAACATTTTATTTTAATCAGGTTCCATTGTAATTTTTTATAAGTCTCTTAAGTTCGTAAGTTTTTTTACATCTCTAGGTTCTCCTATTTCTATCTCTTTTTTTTCTTTGCAATTTATTTATTGAAGAAACTGGGTTTTTAGCTCTCTTTGATTTCACATAGTAAAGCTTTTGCTGACTGCATCCTCATAATATTGTTAATAACTTCCTCACTCCTCTGTATTTCCTGTAAATTTTTCTTGTGCAGAGATTTGTTCAGGACTCAGATTCAGGTTTTTGGCAATTGTACTTCATAGGTAGTTTTGTAAATGAGCTTCTTTCAGGAGGTAAAAAATATTTACTTGTCTCTTCATGTTGGTTAACTGGATTTTTAAATGTGTTAAATATTTTAGAGGGTTCAGGTCCCTTAATGTTTACTTGGGTCCAGGTGGTAGGGGAGAAAAAAAAAGAGTATGTGATGCTCACCAAGTTCTTTCGCTGTTGAGGTCTGATGATGGTGGGGGTTTTATATTCTGACTGAATTATTTGCTTCTGTTGGTTCCTCCTGTCTTTGCTGGAAGATGAATCAGTATGAATCTGGTGTAGAGCTCGGCCATGGCTTGTTTCTCTTGGTCATAAAAGAACTGTTCACTTAAACGTTATGTGAGGAGAGGCTCAGACTCTTTGGAAGTTTTGTTTGTTTGTATTTAGAGGTGTTCATTGGTTTGGCTACACTGGCTACTTTTGCTGATATTCTCCAGGTGTATGTTTTCATTTAATTTGTAAGGTGATTTTTTTTCTTCTTCTAGGATCTCATTTTGCCCAACGGTGGGACGCCAGCAGGCACTTCGAGCCCAGCTTCTTCATCTTCCCTTCTCAACAGACTTCAGCTTGATGACGACATCGATGGCGAGACCAGAGATCTCTTTGTCACCGTTGATGATCCCAAGAAGCATGTCTGTACAATGGAGACCTATATCACGTACAGGATCACCACCAAAGTAGGTCCCTTTGTTATCTTGTTTCCGTGTTGATTGGTCTTGGAGAATGAGAGTCGTCCCTCCATGATTTCTGCCTTTGCTTTCTCTCTCCTTTTGTACAGTTGTGTTCCCTTTTTATAATTGTGGGTACGGCTTTCTGAGAGAGTAGATACATTCAGATTAAAAGGATTATATGTAAGTGTTTTTAATCTTAAAATGCAGGAGAAATTGTGACTGCAGTCTTTCAAAGAAAACTTTAATCCTTATATAGTTGATTCTTCGACAACTTGGGTTTGAATGGTGTAGGTCCACTTACACATGGATTTTTTCATTAAATACTATATAGGTATTTTCATAATAAAATTTTCTTTTCTCTAGATTACTTTATTGTAAGAACACAGCACACACTACATATAACATACAAAATATGTGTTAATTGACTGTTCACATTATTGGTTAACAGTAGGCTATTAGTAGTTAAGTTGTTTGAGAGTCAAAAGTTATATGGATGTGTGTGCGGGGATCAGCACCCCTAACCCCTGTGATTTTCAAGGGTCAACTCTACTTTCACTTATTTCCTATCATGATACTATTTAATGTATTATTATCACATTGCATGTGAAACTTATAAATTGTTGTATTAACCTAAATCTCTGTGATGATCCCATGATTATAATTTGGTATAATTAGACTTGATAGTAGGGGGAGAAGGAGTAAGAGAAGGATGGAAACTAATAGTTACGGACTTTTTGCTATGTGCCACTATGATGTTACTGCCTTGTCCTCTCACACCTGGTTCACATTTGAAAATTTGTCACATACACATGCACTTACACAGTGTTCCCCCATTGCCATTGCCACTGTTTTCAAAATGCTGGCACGCCGAGCTCAAAAGGTTCGCCATCCCTGTCCTAGGTTGATATAATGTATGCCCATGAATTATTTCCAGTTACTTATTTTTTCCCCTAGGGTCAGCTTATTTTTTAACCTGCAGTCAGTGAAATGCAAAACCTGTTTTTCTTGAATTTATGCCCTGAACAGCTGGATGACAAGGTGACTGCCTGCCTGGCTGCACAGCGATGCTTGCCTCCCTGGATGTTTTCCCACCTTTATTTTACTTCTGGGCCCTGCAGTTCACCTCCCAAATGCTAATACTGCAGGGCCTCGTTTCGCAGGCTACCGCACGCAGGCACGGGCTCTCTCTTGTGCCTCTTCTCTTTACTTGCTTCCTTCCCCTTTCTCATTGTGGTCTTATTTCCATTCCTTTTCCTGGGGCTGTTTGATTTCCTATAAGTCAGACAATGTCTCAGTATAACCTTTTCCAAGTTCCAATCCCACATTTTCATTTGGCTGCGATGTTAACACCTCCAGGTAAACTTGTTGCAGTATTAAGTTTTACTTATTACTGTCAATTCCGCTTCTGATCTCAGACCAGAGTCTTTTTCTCTTCCTGTTCCAAATAGCGACACCAGGTTTAATGTCTTGGTGATGCATTTGGAGCCTTCTTTCTGAATGTTGTGTTAAAGATTCGTAGAGAAGTGCGAGGATGAGAGAGAGGGGACAAACAGGAACACAGGGTCCCAAACACCTGATCCTGTCCCAGGGCCCCTGCTTCTACTGAGGTTGTCAAGCAAAGTTAATGGTCAGAGGACAAGGTCGTACATATAATTACGCTCTTAGTTTGAGCTTTGATTCCCAGTCCTACTTCAGATTCCTGATAACCAAAGCTGGACAAAATGCAGAGCTGCTTTTGCCTGAGCTAAAATGAGTCTAGGGATTCTGTTGGTTAGAGTGTCGTCCTGATTTGGCAAGGTTGTGGGTTCGATTCCTGGTCAGTGCACATACAGAATCAAACAATGAGTTTGATTAAAAAGTGGAACAACAAATCTCTCTCTATCTCTCTGTCTCTCTTTCTCTCTCTCTCAAAATAAATACATAAAAAATAAAAAAGAAATGAGTCTAGAACTGAGAGTCAGTTGTAGGCAAAGCAAATCTAAGTCGTGGGTTTTTTATCTCCCTAATGGCGGAGAGATCTTTTCAGGCTGAATTGGCGATTTTCTCAGCTGGCTCCTAGAAAGTAACATTATCATAATAGCTAATTATTGAGCACTTACCATGTGCTGTATTTGTTTGCAATATAAACCCTTTAAATTTTATTTTATATAAGTAATATGTGCTCTTTGTGGAAAACACAAGCAAACTAAAACAGTGAAATAAATTATCTATAAGCTCTCTAGCCAGAAATAATCACTTACAACTTTAGGAACCATTTGTCTTTATTCATTTACAAAAATGAGTATTTTACATGCTGTCAATTCACTTACTATTTTGCAAATGTCTTTCAATGCTACTAAATGCCAGTAAACATGCTTTTATGCTGTCATTTCTGAGTCTGCAATAGTGGTTTGTGGTATGGATGAGCTGTCACTTATTTTGTGCTAAGTGCTTTAAATGTATCATCAGTTAATCCCCATATGCAATGAAATAGGTACCGGTGGTATTTTTATTTTGCAGATGAGGAATCTGAGACATAGAGATTGTAAGAAAATTGCTCAGAGACATGCAACTAATACATGGTGAAGCTAGAACTTGGACTCAGGACATGACATGAGTTTTAAGAGAGGATTCCCTCCCACCCCCACCCCTCACCCCCGCCTTCCCCTGCCTACCCAAGCACTGTGTGTGGTTTACTACCACGGCTGTTGACACTGGCGATGATGTGGAAGCAGACTGGAGGTTAAAAGCCATCCTCCTCTTGTCTTTTACCCTATCACCAGTCATTACCGACACTTATGCCCCAACTAGTTTTTCTTTTCAAATGCCTCAGTGGTTCAACAGGCTGAATCTTGCTGAAAGATCAGTTATAGATGAGGATTACAAAATAGACGTAAGATTTAATGGCAAGAAGGTCATTGCTGACTGGGGAGAGCAGTGCCATTGATGTGGGGGGAGAGAGCCCAGCTTGCAGTGGGTTAGGGTGTGAGAGGAAAGAAAGGCATTATGAGTGGTGGTAGTTTGGCAAGGAAAGCGAGTCTAAGAAAAGAACAATAACCGAAGCGGGATGTGAATTTGGGGGGGGTGGGCTTCTCGTTTGTTTTTTAAGGATGGATGAAACTTGTTTAAGTGCCAGGTGGACAATGTGGATGGAGAAGGAGACATCGGGTTGAAGATTGGAGAGTAGAAAGCCACTGAGGTGGTAGTACCCTGAGCAGAAGTGGAGGGAGGGAGGGAGTGGCCTCTCATGAGGGAGGTGGACTTTTTTCATTGTTTCTGGAGAAAGGAGGGGAGTCTTTTTGTGGCAGAAAGTTGAGGGTTCTTTGCTTAAAGCTGCAGTTTCCTCTATGGAGAGGTATGAGGTCTTCTACGGGGAGTGATAGGGAAGTTTTGAAGTGGGGCTTCCGAGTTCTGAAAAACTTGTACAGGCTTTGTGTTAACTGATGTGGAAAATGAGGAAGAGAGTTGATTAAGGAAGTAAAGAGAGACTGCTTGCCAGTGTTGAGGGTCCAGCTGGGGAATTTATTGTGTTGACCAGTGTGTTTGCCTGACTTTGTTTTTCCTTCCGGAATGTGCTCACACGCCCTGGTCGATGTGAGCAAGAAGTGGATGGTTGCATTTCTGCGAGAGTTGTGGGATGGACAGTGGGGAAGGGGCCTATTGGCAAATCAAAGGCCCAAGTGATGGCTCATGGAATTGACGCTGAGTAAGGAAGGAAGAAAAGACAGAAGTGAACAGAATATCAAGGAACTGTAGGTCCCAAGAGGCTGAAAACCCAGGGAAATGGAGCCTGCTGGAGGCTCTGTGGGGTCTCAAAGAACATCCTTTCAACTGTGTCTTCTAACTGTGGCGGAGACCAAGTCTCTAGGAGGCTTAGTGGTGTTTCGGGACTGCTCATGGGCAGGGTTCCCCAGGCTACCTGCTCTCAATATTTCCATGTTCTGTATGCCTGAAAATTTGTCATCAGTGATTTGCTCTTCAGATTTAAGTATTCTTCCTCCCTCCTTCCAATTCTACAGTGCTAATTCCTTTGGGGAATCTTCTAATAAGTCACAAAAACCTAAGTTAAATGAAGTTCCCCACATCTTCCCACCCTTATACTCCATCATAGGAGAGGTTTGTGTTTCATGGGCATAAGCTAACCTGAGGGACTCGGAAAAGGGGAAAAGATGCAGAAAGAGTTAGTTGGGGTCCAGTCCAAGGCTGAGTCCTTTAACTGCACGATTTTACCCAGACTGCGTGAGCACAGCTTTTGGGGAGGGTGAAATCATAATTTTCAATGCCAAAGACTTTAACAGCTTTTTCTTTGATGAATAACTCTTTCCTGTGTGTTTTAAAGATCTCCTTGGTGGTGTGGTTAAAACAGACTTTTGGCTTTAAAGGGTAATTTTACAAAATGTAGCTTGAGCCATTTTTATTTGATACTTTAATTCCTGAGAAGTGTGACTGTCATACAGTTGGTACCCCCATAGAGAAGATGGTTTAGCTGAGACATAACTTTAGTTTGGGCAAATCAATGTGTAAAACTCTTGTTTTCCTGTAAATTAATTTAATTTCACTTAACATTGATTTTCATGATCAAAATGCTACAATCACATTTCAGAAAAATTAAATTCAGGAAGGGGGGATGAGAGAAATATTTTTATTATACAGTGACATTTTGGTATTATTTACTTGTAGATTTTTTTTTTCTTATCAACTGAAATACAATATAATTTCAAGGTTATGGCTCTGGCCAGAATATGGCAAATGAGGCAAAACCTTTTCTATTTTTATCTAATCTGGCTCCTAAATGAGCTGATGGCCTGTTCTTCCTACTTTTTGTTTGTTCGTTTCCCCCCTGCCTTTGACAAAACTTGTGAACATATTTATCAGAGAGTGGAGATGTAATTCCTTGTCACAGATTCCCAGATTCGGATTCAGTAGCAATATCTTCAGTGGAGTGATTCGGCTAAAAGAAATGCTCAAACTGAAGCTTAGAGGAAATGAATCAAATGTTTCTGAACACAATTCTGAGGGAGAGTTGAGTTCCACTTCCTGAGGGTAAAAAACAAAACAAAAAAACACCACTCACGCACATGGAACTTTTCATTCTAGATCCTTGAATTTTTAACTGGGCCCTGTGGCCCAGACCCTCATTCCGTGCTGGTAGACCCTGCCCTTCGGCTGTGTGTTCGGTGGAAGGAAGGTGTGTTCTTGCCCAGTCTGGTTATTCACAGAGAGTTTTTTCCCTCCCCTCTGCCAAGATGGGCTCCTGTTCCCTTATGCTTATTTTGCTTTCTTCTTCTTCTTTGCAGAGTACTCGGGTGGAGTTTGACCTGCCGGAATATTCTGTCCGTCGAAGATACCAGGATTTTGACTGGTTGAGGAACAAACTGGAAGAATCGCAGCCCACTCATCTCATTCCCGTAGGTACTAAGTCACTAAAGCTTATTACTCACTTTCCTGCATTTTCTTCCCTGAGACTGTTCACTCAACTCTCACCCCTTCAATTATGGGCAAACTCTGCCTTACATTTTCAGCCAGTTCCCCCATCAAATGTTTATGGATACCGTGTAAATATATATCACCCTTTGGGTTTGGCTTTCTCATTTGCTATATAGTATGCTGGTTTCTTGAGTGCGATGGGGTAGTTCTTCACTTCCATTATGACAATTTTTAAAAAATAAATATTGTTGAAAGAATTACACATTCCCCTCTTTTTCTCCCTTTGACCCTCTCTAGCCCGCCGCCAGCCCCTGCCCCAGGTCTTCACCACCCTGTTGTCTGTGTCCATGGGCTATGCATCTTTGCATACAAGGTTTATGGTTGATTACCTTCCAGTCACCCACCCTTCCCCGCCTTCCTTCGGAGATTCCGCACTCTGTTCCATGCTGCTGGATCCACTCCATTCATCAGGTTATTTTGTTAATTAGGTTGCACATATGAGTGAGATCATGTGATGCTTTTCTTCCTGTAACTGACTTATTTCACTTCCATTATGACAATTTTTGAAGTATGGAGAGTTTTAGTTCTCATTTGCTGCCCCTTTAAAGACTGTTTCCCCTTCCTAGACACTGTTCCTGAGGTTTGGACAGCTGCCACCAGGTGCAGGATGCTGCCTCCCTTGCCGCTGCCGGGCTTTCTTTAGACATGGGTAATTCAGGGAGCAGGGATCCAGCACACGGTCCCCTCACCAGTTCTCCATTAAAAAAGCAAGCCCAAAGCCACCTTACTTTTATTTATTTAAGCAGAATAATATTTATCTATTACTTATATCTGCACATTTTAAACCAGAACCAGAGTAAATAAAACAGAAAAGACTACTTAAAATCAGCATACTCATTGAGTACTTTTCTGACTACATTTATTTTTAGTGTACAAATAATAACTTTTTTCACTCCAGATGGTTCTTG